TAATTTTCCCAAGTCCACACAGCTACAATTCTCAGGTCGAGGATTTGTACCTGGACAGCCTCATTCTAATCACTTTTAACCACCACACTACTGCCTCGCAAATGAAAGGACATTTCTCTCACATTCTGAGCATCATTTATGTTCATGTATATCAGCAACCAGGGGCATCCTCCCTGATATGTGTGGTACTTCCCACTAAGTGGGTTTTGAAATTACAAGGCCCTCCTCTCTATACCTTGTAATCCCTCGAGAGCTGTACAAGATTTGAATTGCTTTTTCTCCGGAATAGCCCTTAATTGACACTTAGTAATTATCCGTTGAATAAAAAAACAGTATTAATAATATAGCAAATTAAGTAGCAGTATATCTGGGTGGTATAAAGTATGCACAGGAGAACAGCTGAGTAGTTTAGAGTGGGCAGCCTTAAGGTTACTCAATTTACAGAAATGTAACATTTTGGGAGACTGCCTTTAAGTCCATTTGTATTATTATTAATTATTATTATTTTAAATCCTCACCTGCAGAGATGTTTATTGATTTTAGAGAGAGGAAGGGAGAGAGAGAGAGAGAAAAAAAATACCAATATGAGAGAGAAATCAATTGGTTGCCTCCTGTACATACCCTGTCTGAGAGATCTAACCCTAAACCTTTTGGTGTATAGGACGACACTCCAACCAACTGAGCTACCCAGGCTGGGCAAGTCCATTTGTCTTTTTAAAACCAACATAGTTTTACTTACACGGATTTTCATGACAAACATGAAAGACAGAAATTATACATGTGCGATTTGAAACAGAATTTAGGATTTATCTCTGAAAGTGTATAAGTTGAAAGTTTGCAAGTAAAAGACTTTTGTACTTACATACATATTTTAAATATACAAACACACACATACACTGTACATACACATACACACGTGCACAACTTACAGTACCTTTTATATACATTGAGACCAGTTTTCTTATTTACCAGAGAATATGGGAATATTATAGCTGTAACTAGTTGTTTAGAACTCTCATCCCAGTAGGAAGTAAATATGAACATAATCTGTTTTTCTCAAAACGTAGCTTAAACTCAGCTTCTGCCTTATTTCCCTCTTTCGTCCTTTAGTTGACTCTTAGGTTGGTTCCCAAAATTTTTAGTCACTTTCAGTTCTTGGAATTCTAGCTCAGATTAAAAATTCTATCTTTGCCTCT